AATTTTATCCCGATATATTTATAATTAAATGAAATATATGCGTTTAAGTGATTTTCGGAAGTGGACTTTATATGGGAGCTATGACCAATTATGGACCTATCCGGAAAAAATTTCGTAGAGTGATTTATATTTAGACTAAACATATTTGTGTCGAATTTCATCAAGATAGCTTTATATGACAATGAAATATGAGCTTTTAAATGATTTTCGGAAGTGGGCCTTATATGGGAGCTATGACCAATAATGGACCGATCCGTAAAAAATTTCGTAGAATGATTTGTATGTACACAAAACATGTTTAACTCGAATTTTATCACAATAGCTTTATTCATCAATGAAATATGTGAGTTTAGGTGATTTTCGGAAGTGGACCTTGTATGGGAGCTATGGCCAATTGTAGACCGACTGAGATCTGCGTTGACAGTATGATTTCTGTTCATATTATATTTGCATGTGCAAAATTTTGTGCTGATACCGATATATTTGAGGGAGTTATTAGCGATAAACTAATTTCCGGGAATATATACCTTTGTATGGGGGCTATGGGAAATATTGGATCGATTGTAAAGATTTTCAACATAATTGATCACTGCCATAAAAAAATAATGTGTGACAAAATTCATCGAAATATCTTTGGTAGTTTCTGAGAAAACTTCAAAAGAATGATGAAAAAAACGTAATTTTTTTCGAGGTAGTCTAAAATTTTTACTCATAGCTTTTTACGTTGTGAATCGATTTTGCTGATTTTCAATACCAAACTGCTTAGGATAACAATAAATATTTTGGGTGAATTTGGTTGATTTCCTTTGCTTAGTTTTAACGTGAGCGTGTTTTACACAGACAGACAGACAGACAGACAGACGGACAGACGGACATAGCTAAATCGACTCAGAATTTCATAAGGACCCAGAATATATATACTTTGTTGGGTCTTAGATGAATATTTCTTGGTGTTACACACGGAACGACAAACTTATATATACCCTCTATCACCACTGATGGTGGTGGAGGGTATAAAAACAATTGAAAGATTTATGGCAGTATATCGAATCGTGATAAAAATTTATTTTATGTGCCTCCAACAAAAAAATTTTCATAAAATAATTATTTTAAATAAGGTTTACTTTTGCGTTTACTTTTTGCGGTTTACTTTTATAAATTTTCAGAACATTAAATTCATTTTTTCAATCCTGAGTTACTGCATTAAGCCCCCGACTACTCTATCTATAAGGAGTCAGAATATATCGCCCTACAGGATTGGCATAATCCAAAAAGTCGTTTCAAGAAAAATGGATATGAATATTTAATGACATTTAACTATTTTTTTAATAACTTTTAAACAAATCAAGGGGTTTTAAAAATCCAGATTCAGATAGTTGAGGTTAATATGTTTCTCATCTAAATTGAAATTAAATTTTTAGTTGTCTAATATTCACAAAAACGTGGGTTTTAGTTTTTACGTTTACAAAAAATCGATTTCACATCGAAAATAATAGACATATTTGAAATTTCATAAATCTATATGAAAGATTTTAGTATGCCGCATGTTTTGAAGACCTTAGTTCAAGAAAGCCGAATTTTGGATTATGCCAGTCTTGTAGCGATATGTAGGTACATATATTGTAGAAATTACAAGCGGAATTTTTACTAACGATACACTTAAAACTGATTTCATTTTTAATTTAAAAGTTTAATACATGAAAGAGTATATTTTTAGTTATTAAAAACTATGAAATTGAAAAATCCCTACAATTTGACAATAGTAAGAAATCTTTCCCTTTTTCCCTACACGTGAAATTTTTGAAAAAAATCCCTACAAAAAGGGAAAAATCCCTACACTTGGCATCACTGATCTATATTAAAGATGGTTCTCATCTACTGTTGGTTCTTCTCTACTGTATTTTGCAGGCGTATTTACATCAGACCCACTTTATATAGTTATCTATGAAAGGAATTATTGGCCAATATTTCAAATAGTATTCCTGACGAATGTAATATCTGGAATAACATCGATTCCAAGATATTTGAATTTATTACCCATAGTTCGAGAGAGGTTCGTTACTTTTTGGACGATCTAGCGTATATTTATATTAATGATGATGGTTCTCCTCTACAGTTGACCCACTTTATATAGAGATCTATGAAAGGAATTGTAGTACAATTTTTCAAAGTGTGTTCTTAACGGATGTAATATTTAGAATAAGATCGTTTCCAAGATATTTAAATCTAATTCATACGAAAGTCTAGCAATTGCAATTGCAGAATTCCAGCCTTCCACAGTCCTCCGCTCATGCGGAATGGGGGATGTCATTGTGTTGTTGTTGTAGCAGCATCGATTTAGCTGAGTCGAAAGTCCTTGGTCGTTGTTCATTGAACTCCAAGTCGTTCCGGTGCGAAGAAACGATTGTTGTGGAGACGAATGACATTATGTTGCTCCCCTTAGTTGGGCGAATACATATTCGAATCCATTATATAATAGCTCTGAAAAAAATTGGTCAGAATAACAAAGAGAAGAAAGCAATTCATTGCTTTCAAAGATTCAGGATTATATATTTTCGTCAAAGAACTATTCATTCCCACTGACTGACGCCTAATCGAAGGTGTTGTTATTATGACCATTTTATAATAACCGGAAGTGGGACATGCTTTTTCGGTTTCTCTTTTTTGGACGATCTACTGATTATTAGGATAGTTGGTTTGCTTACTAGATGATTAGAAAGGGAAAGAGTTCTTTGACACAGTTCGCTTGGATAGGAATTTGTCCATTACATTAGGTTTCCCAGATATCGTGTGAAAAAACACGCTTTTAACCATATTTAAGATGCTAAAAAGACCAGTTCTATCGACTTCGAAATATCTTCGGATTTAGATTTGCTCAATCCTTTAGAACTTCATATATATACATCTTTAAACATTAAAACAATAATTCTTTAAGATTTAAAGCAAAATGCAACTTTAAAGCCACTCTTTATTAAAGATACTTAGTTCTAGTCTAGAAATCATTTATAGTCCATACAATATATTTTCATTATTGTCCCCTCGAAAGCTTACAATAATTCACATGAAGTCACATCACTTTTTACCCCTTTTCCCCAACGTCATGGTGTTATGTGAAGCCACATAATGATTTTTATGTGTATTAAATTCCAAATATTCTTCCTCCAATTTTTGCCTAGTCTCCTCCAGTTTACGTTTCTCTTCAGCATGTTCTTTCTTTAGTTTATCGAAACGTAAATGTAATTCTCTTTCGCTCTCTTTCAATTCAGCTTCTTTCTCCTTAACGCGCTGCACAAACATTTGACGTACTTCTTCTTCTTTAGCTAATAGTTCACTAAGATGATTGGAACGTTTAACCTCAAAGGTTTGTTGGAAAGAAACTGGTTTATTATCGTCGTCCACATCACAAAAGCCCATTTCCTGCAAACGTTTTTGTCTGTACAGTTCATAGTGTTTGGTATGGGTTTGTTCACGTAGATCTTCCATATTGGTGCGTATTAACATCTCCCTTAGCTTGACAAAGTCACAGTGAGTTTCATTTTCCACTTGCACCGTTCCCCAGGGATATTGACGGGCTCTTACTTGTTTATTACCGATTCTAACAAACTCTGTACTGCCCACCACTGCAAAAGGTGTATGAGCATTCATGGCATTATTGGTATCGGCCACGGTCTCATCATCTGTAGGAAACTGATAGATTTGTACACCATTACGTTTCAGTTCATCCATTATGTTCTCTTTAAATCTTTGCAATTCGGCTTTGGATATAGTATCGGCCTTAGCTATAATGGGTATTATATTGACCTTACTATCCAATTGTTTCATACAAACCAAATCCAAAGATTTGAGGCCATGCCCTGTGGGACAAATGAAATAGAGACAAGCATGTATACGACTGTCATGGAAATCCACTAAGGAACGTTTTATCTTCAATTCCTCTTGTAAATACGATTCAAACTGCACATCTATATAGTCCACCACCGATTTAAAGGAATCATGTTTATTGATTTGATCACCATAGCCCACGGTATCGCAAATGGTTAGCTTTAGACCAACATTACTTTCCTGCAACTCATAGGTATGAGCCTTTAGCTTCACATTGGGCAAGGTATGAGGACTGGCTGTGGATTCGAAGCTAGTATTGAAGAGAGTGTCCATTAAAGTAGATTTACCCAAACCGGTTTCGCCCACACACATGACATTGAAGACAAAGCCGTTAAGCACACTTTTGTTGACCAATTGATCGGGTAGACTATCGAAACCAACATGACCAGCTTGTTTGAGACAACGTACAGTAGTTTCTTTCATTAGAGGTTGAACAGCAACTTCCACAGGCATTTTTGTTAGAAAATTATTTAAGAATTACAAAACTGAGAGATGCTATTGACTTGAGTATTCGTTAGCGAATGTTGTGGACTTTAACCTTGCTTGATTATTTATACCCTTTATGCCAGGAGTAGGTAGACAATCTGGCATATTCGCGTTTCTTGTTAATCTTTTTGTAAATAACAATTGTTTCTAAGAATTAAAATTTCCACAAAATAAGTATGGAAATTTGTTTTAACGCCGCGTTTAAACATTTTATTGCCTTTTTCTGCGGATTAACGTGAAACAGGTAACAATTTGTTGTTTTTCATAAGAGTTTTTCCAATTAGTGTGAGCAGCTGCTAAAAGTTTCCAAATAAATAATACAAATATTTCCCTCCAAAATTCTATTTTTGAGTGATAACATAAAGATCTATTTTCTGGCTAAACTAGAGAAGCACAGCCAAAAAGATGAAAATCTGTGATCACTTTTATTTCCTCCCAAAATTCGTTTTTTGAGTGAAAACCTAAAAGTCCATTTTCTGGCTAAACTAGAAGAGCTACAGCCAAGAGCATGAAAATCTGTGATCACTTTCATTTCCTACTAGAAGGATATTTTGAGTGAAAACCTAAAAGTCCATTTCCTGGCTAAACTAGAGGCGTCTGGGCCAAACGAATGAAAAGAACAACAATTCGTGCAGCAAATTTTAGAATAATTTTTATTTAACTGTTGCGAAAAAAAATAATGAAACACAAAAAATATTGATACAAAAGAACAATAAATTTAGAAAAAGAAAAATAATTACACAAAAATTATATAAAAAAAAATAAAGAACAACGCTTAAAGGCGTTTTTTACAAACATTTAAGAACGATAGTTCATGAAAGAAGAACTGGAAAAGAAGAAGAGAAATGAATGATTATTCATTGATTTCGTTGAATATTTACATTCTTAAGCTTACCCTCCAAAAGCGGGTTTCTGTTGCTGAGCCTGTGTAGAATGAGCCAAATTTCCAAAAGACAAACCCGAGTCTTGAGAGCCTAATGTTTCGAAAATGTTTCCCTTGGGCGCTGCAGAAGCTTGAGCACCTGCACCGAAACCGGTGGCTGTTGGAGATGTTGCTGCAAATGAGCCGAAACCTTTGGGACTGCCAAATGTTGGAGCTCCTCCGAATGTCGGTTGGGCACCAAAAGCTGGTTGAGGACTACCAAATGAAGCTGGACCACCGAAAACTGGTTTTGCAAAGGCACCTTGCTGTTGAGGCGAACCGAATCCTGTGGCTGCTGGAGCACCAAAACCACCTGCCGAGGGTGAACCAAAAGCGGGAGCCGAAGATGGCTGCGAAAAGGAGCCAAAACCTGGTGATGCTCCAAAAGCTGGTGCCGTTGCTGCAGCGGCTTGTCCAAATATAGAACCTCCCGATGCTGAGGTATTAGCTGCAGCAGATCCTCCAAATATGGAACCTCCTGATGCGCCAAAACCTCCCGAGGTGGGCGATTGAGCAGCAGCACCTCCAAAAATACCTCCAGCTGATTGTGGTGCTGCTGTTGCTCCAAAAGTACTTTTGCCAAATAATGAACCGCCACTAGAGGCCGATTGTTGTGTGGGTGAACCAAAGATACTACCACCTTCGGCAGGTTTAGTTGCTGCCGCTGCTGCTCCAAATATAGAACCGGCTGTATTTGCTGATGCTGTAGAGCTAAAAGGACTGGCGGCAGCTGTATTGCCGCCACCACCAAATATGGAACCTGCTGTTGAACCACCAAATCCTGTTGAAGAACCACCACCAAAGATACTGCCGCCTGTGGCTGCGGGAGGCTTAGTTGCTGCAGCTGCTGCTGCAAATAAACCAGTGCCAGCTGGTTGGGCGGCGGTATTAGCGGCACCAAAAACGGATTGGTCCGGTTTAGGTATGCCTCCAAAGACACTGCCACCTGCCGGTGGTGTAGCAGCTGCAGCGGCTCCAAATATGGAGCCTGAGCCAGGAGTAGCGGCAGTTGTTGTGGCCGGGGCTGTGGAACCAAACAACGAAGGTGCTGAAGATGCTGCTGCTGCACCGCCTCCAAATATCGAAGTTGTGGTACTTGTAGTGGCAGCTGTGCTAGTTTGTCCAAACACCGAAGATCCTCCGCCAAATATATTACCAGCTGCTGGAGCCGAAGTGGTCGTAGCAGTGGCTGCGGTCGTGGAGACAGCAGTTGAAGACGACAGGGAAAGCGAGCCAAACAATGAACCAGCAGTGGAAGCTGCTGCCGGAGCCGCCGCTGCGGCAAATGTAAATGAAGATGTTGTGGCAGCGTTAGAAGGAGCAGCTGCTGTGCTAGATACCGCTGTTGATGTTGTAGTCAAAGTTGTGGTGGTTGTAGTGCCGGTAGCTGCCGCTGTTGTTTCTGCAGTGGCTGGTTTTCCAAAAAGATTCGCTGTTGTTGCCGGCGTAGCGCTGGCAGCTGAGACAAATGAAAATCCTGTACTGGGAGTTGTTCCAGTTGTACTGGTTGAGCCCAAAAACGATTTCGCACCATCTCCAGCTCCACTGGCCGAAACAAAGGAAAACGCTCCACTTGATGCTGTCGATGTAGCAGCGGCAAATCCAGAGAATATATTAGCTGGTTTGCCAGAATCTCCTGCAGCTTCTTTAGCCGTGGGTTTGCAAATGTTAAGCGAACCAAAGAGGGAATCCGTAGGATCAGCTGTTGCTGAGGGAGTTGGTGTACTACTTGAAGTTGGTGTTGCCGTAGCAGCAGGTTTAGGTTCTGGTAAGCCCGTTGAGGTTATGGTAACGTTAGGTGCTGCAGTGGATTTGGTAGAAGTAACCGTAGTGTTGCCAGCTGCTGGGCTAATGAAGCTAAAACTTGAAATTTGTGGAATTATTATCATTTAATGTGCGTTGAAGATATTTACACTTGGATGGATGATGATGGATTACTTATGGTGCTTTGTTGTGAAATGAAATTGTTATGTTCCTAGTTCATTAGCTAAAAATGTCCTTTAAGATCCTTTCAATGCTTTTGACTTTTTAATAACTTGGTTTTGCTATGATTCCTATAATTTTCTAGACTTTGAGTTACTTAAACAAATCTTGATAGAACTAGTTCTTCAACGATAATTGTATACTTGATTAACTAGACAGAATCTAGTTGCACGATCTTCTTTTAATAATTTCTCAGTTTCCGATAGTTCATTAGTAAAGTGGTTTGTCCAAAGTTTTTCATTACCCCACTATCTTTTGTTTAGAAGCGGTCCAATTATACAATACTCTGCTACCAATATGTCATCTTTCTGAAAGTTAATTCTGGGAACTAATTATATTCGAACAGACCTCAACAATAGTTGAACTTTTTTGTCAACCATTGCGTAGCGAATCTGTCAGTTGCGCGATCCTCTTTGAAACGAAGGAATTGTTTAGCTTTGCCGTCTCCGGATCATGTTACCTAAGTGAACCGCCCTCATTGTGGAATAGAATAGAGGTGCTATCAATAACTCTAGTCTGTCGGGACCAGAAACTGGAGAAGTCAAAAGACTTCTCGGAGTTATTATTAAACTTGCGGTTTGACTAGAAAGCTTATCTTATCTGGTATTTCGGAAGCCAATGACCCATAAGGTTCGTCCTGTACTGTCCATTGGTGAGGTCCCTTCGGGATACACTTATTTGGTTTAAAGACTAATACACTTTAAAGCACTACGTGATAAGATTTCAAAGCGAATTTCGACTCGACGGCATTCGACACGAAACTGACTGCGGGGAACTATATCTTGGGATTCAGTTGATATCACGAACAGAATTCAGGACCCTAATAAATGTTTCAGATGAATGTTTTTATAAATGTGTCACATGAAAGTTCCGGATTATGCAATATTTATGTCCCTACGTTAGCGATGTTCCCTTCTTTGTCGAAGTATATTTCGGGCGGTTACCGATATCACAAGAACAGCATTTAGAGGTGAGTGGGTCCTGATTCAACCCACATACCCTTTTGAATGTATAGTATGAATGTGTTTATGAATGGGTCCCATGAAAGGTCCGGGTTATGCAGTATTTCTGTCCTTATGTTAGCGATCCGGTTCTTTGTCCGCTTATGTTTCGGGGTTTATTATGTTCCCTCATAACCTACCGCAGTCTGTGTCCTGTGTATAGGAAACTATGTATTAAATACGTCCCTATGTACTATTGTCAATACAACAGAGGTCATCCTCTGCATTGTGGTTAAGTTTATTGTCGAGATAGATCTGAAGATCGCGAGACATTCCATAACTGAAATGCAATGGTCAGAGATTAGATAGCTCGATTAGACTATAGACATAATCTGCTTCTATTCTCTGACTCTAATACGTTGATATTAAACATTTTCTAACTACATTAAGTGGAGCTATCCTTCAATATAGTTCGTCGTAGTCCAAACGATCTAATGTCGAAAGGTGGAAGCGATTTCTCTTATTCCGACGTTATAAACTTGATCTTTCGTATTTGAGACTGATGGGTTCTATTGTATAATAGCAAATCCTTTTAAACTATATCAAACGATCTGCGATCAGATCAAATTCGATTACTAAGAAGACATAGTGAAGACCACTCTTCAGTATGGATTTCAAAAGTAATATTTGCCTCTAATGGCTTCTATTGTATTATATTGCGTTAAAACTCGATCTACATTCGAAGAGTGGTCTTCAGGAGATCTGTAAGCCGCTGGATGTAATTAGTAGTTTCATTAATAACTACCTATTTGTCTCTAATGACTTTTATTGTATAATATTGAATCCGTTTAAACTATATCAAACGATCTGCGATCATATCACATTCACTAAGATCACTAAGAAAACATAATAATCTTCTGAAGAGAGGTCTTCTCAAAAGTATGGGTTTCAGGAGACCTCTAAACTCCAACATGTACTTAATAGTTTCATTAATAACTTCCTACCCGTAATGGCTTCTGTTGTATAATAATGAATCGGTTTCAATTATATCAAACGATCTGCGATCAGATCACTTACGATCACTAAGAAGTCAAAGTTTTTTACTAAAGAGTATGGGTATCAGAAGGTTTCTGATTTCCTGAATGTAACAGATAGTTTAATAAATAACTTCGCTGTAAATTAATCATTAAACAATCTTGTACGAAACGCCACGATCGAGCTGTTGTCTTACTGCTGTTATTTGAAAACCCTGATTAGACTTCGATGTCTTTTCCATACTCTACTCACAAGATGACATTGTAGTTGTCTTCTGAAAAGTATAGGTCTTAGAAGTCATCTTACCTGTTAACTGTAATTAACTATCAAACGAACCGTGAAGATCGGTATTTTATCAACTATATAGATCATGCTTTTTCCTTAAACTTAAACCCAAGCCATTAATTTTGATCTTTCTATTACAAAAATCCATATCCCTAGATTGCTATTAGAAAGCTTTAACTCAAGTCTTTGCATATTATTGTTTAAAACTTTTAAAGCCCTGAAGAAGATCAGCAGAAACTTTTGCGATCAAATAAGGCAGTTCCTAACTAAATCCTAGAACTCTAACAGTTATTGAAACTATATTTAGCTTATTCAATTTGTGTTAATCTGTGCTAATTTGTGCAAATTATAGAATTTTCAAAAGTTCCTCAATGTTTGGAAAATAAGAGCATTATAATGATTCCACTTACCTGGCGGGTGCACTTGACGTTGGAGCGCTTGAAGCTGAAGAAGCAGTAGTAATTTGAGGAGTTTTTATTTCAGCTGGTTTAGCTGTAACAGCAGTTGCGGCGGGCGTTGACGAAGTTGTAATTGTAGTGGTGGTTACAGCTTTAGTTGAAGCAGGTGTTGCTGCTGTTGTAGAAACATTTGCATTAAAAGAAAATGAAGAAGATGAAGATAAAGTCGCAAAAGGTGTAGAGGTGTTAGTAGAGCTGTTCGAACCAAAGAGGGATGTGGAAAATGGGGCTGCTGTAGTAGCTGGTTTAGTAGAGCCGCCAAAACCACCAAAAGCAGCAGGAGGTGCTATTGATGTGCTTGAAGAAGTGGATGTTGTTGTTGTTGAAGAAGCTGTAGAAAAACCAAATTGTTTGGGAGTTTCTTCTAGCTTCTTAGTATCATCTTTCGTTTGATTACTGGTTTGTGTTAAGGGTTTTGTATTGGCAAATGCTGAAAACCCACTAGAAGTAGAAGCTGCAAAACCTTGTGCTGGTGGCTGCACAGCATTAGTTTGCGTTGTCGTTTTATTGCCCAAATTTGTAAATGGTTTAGCATCATTACCGCCAATAACTTTGGCGGAAAATGAAATTGGCGTATTGGTAGGCTGTTGATTTTCTTTACTTTCATTGGCCATCGATGTGGCCGCTGTATTGAGTAGGGGTTTTGTTTGATTAAAACTCAAAGATGTCTGTTGTTGTGAGGTGGTCATGCCAAAACCGGTAAAAGCTGTAGAGGTGGCTATAGGTTTATTGGATTCATCTGTTTTTGTTGCTGTTGTAGAGTTGGATGTTTTAACAAATGAACTATTGCCGCCAAAGGATAAAGTAGCCGCTGCGGATGAAGTGGGCGTTATGAATGTAGGTGGCTGTGAGGATACTATGTTTGGTTTAGAGGCTGTTGGTTTGGCTAGAAGTGGAGGTTGTTGCTGCTGTGGTGTTGATATAGTAGCTTGTGGTTTAAGCAATTGTTGCTGCAATTGTGTTTGATAGTTTTGTTGTTCATGGGGTTTGGAGGCGACAACTTTTTGCATGTTTGTTTGTTGTTTATAAGCTGCATACTGTTGCTGCTGTTGTTGTTGTTGTATATATTGCTGCTGTTGTTGTTGCATATATTGCTGCTGTTGCATTTGTTGTTGCTGTTGTATTTGTTGCTGCATTTGTTGTTGCTGCTGCTGCTTTTTAACCATTTCCTTTTGTTTACGCTCAGTTTCCAGTTTAGTTTCCAAAATCACTTCCGATTTCAGTCCTATGCGATCTGGCCGTTTGGGTTTGATTATGGCAATTTGTTGTTGCCTTTTGGTGAAATTTCGTATGGCATTTAATTTGTCTTCCGACAGTTTAGCTTGAGTTTGAGAAACCACCTGCGACAAGCTCATGGAGAGTATGGAATCGGCTAAAGATTCCATGGTGCTGAAACAAGAAGAGAATTAAATTTTAAAATAAGATAAAAATATTAAAAAATATTTCTTGGGAACATTATATTTGCAAAGAAAAAAAGCTTTTCAGAACAAAGAGCTTAAAAGCTTAACAAAACTTTTGGTAATGAAAAAAGTTTTTGTGATAGGAGCTTTTTCTTAGAAAGCTTTTACTTTGATTAATAAAGCTTTTTCTAAGATTTTCACAATAAAGCTTTTCAAAGATTTTCACAATAAAGCTTTTCCCAAGCTTTTTCTAAAAAAAAATTTTTAAATAAGCTGTTCAATAGCAAAAGCTTTTTCTCACAAGCATTTTTTCAACAAAAGCTATTTCCAAGTAGGCTTTTCTACGAAAAAGCTTAATAAAAAGTTTTTTAAAAAAGCTTTATAGAAAAGCTTTTATTATAAAACAAAAGGAGCTTTTTAAATGAAAAAAGTTTTTTCAACAAACATTTTTTTACGCCGAAAAGCTTTTTCTATAATAACTTAAAAAGGAGCTTTTTATGTGAAAAAACTTTTCTATAAAAATAGCTTTTTTACGAGAAAAAAAGCTTCATTTCTTTTAGCGAAAAAAGGTGTATTTTTTCCATATAAAGAAGAGCTTTTTCTATAAAAAAAAATTAGAAATAAATAATTTCACACGAAATAAGCTTTTTTATAAAAAATTTTGTATAAAACATAAAAATACTTTTTCGTTTTGATAAAACAAAGCTTTTCCACAAATAAATCTAGTTAAAAACCTGCTTATGTGTGAAAAAAAACTTCTTTGTAAAAAAGCTTTTACTTAAAAAAAAGCACAATATTTTACCTTTGATTTTTCGTTAAAGCACCCACTGCCACCGAAGTAACATCCACCTCACTGGGTGGCTTATAATTTAAGCCCTTCTGCTTTAGCTTAGTCTTGATATAATTCATTTTAGTTCTTTGTCTAGCCAGCATATCCTTCAACTTTGACATGCGCTGATAAATACCATCCAAACAGGGAATATGCATTTGATTCTTGGAATTTCTTCGTACAACATCTTGATATTGAGACCATTGAGCATCAATTAACTGATTCAATTGAGACAACTGATTTTGATTTGAAGCAGCATAGGCCTGTAATTTAGCCAATTGGCGGCGACTGGTGGGATCCGTGGAGGAAACGGTGGATAAACGGGTTAAGCTTTAAAAGTAAAAAAATATTTAGAAAGTTGTGAGGTTTTTGTTATATTTAGATTATAATTACTTGGGATTATTGTATAAATCCAATTTGGTGCGACATTCAGCTAACATGGCATAGGATTCATTCATGGAATGCCTTAAACTTTGTACATCCTGTTCAAATTCATGATCATTGGCCTGTTCAAGAATTTCTTGTAGATCATTTAATTGTTTACTATACGATTTAATTTCATCGGGAGAACCAATCTATTCGGAATACAAAATATTAGTTTGGTTATAAATTTAAATGACAGTAACTTACATTTTCCATTAATTGCTTGGACTGTTGTCGTATATGTTTGAATTCCATTTCAAAGGCTTCTATTTGTATGACTATCATTTGTTTTACCACTTCATCAATTTCTCCGGTATTCAAATTCATTTTGTTAGAAGTTGCTGCGGGTTGTATTGTCTTCTGTTCCGATTTGATGTTATTTTGTGTCTGCTGCACACTAGGTGGTGTAAATGTGGCTGGTACTGTGTACAAGGGTTTGTTGGCTTCAGGATTTTTATTAAGATTGGCTAGTTGGGAAGTTTGGGTTTGTGTAGTCGGCTGTTTGGGAGCTTCATTAGGTTTGGCAGTAAAACCTGTTCCTGAAAATCCACCAAAAGGTGTTCCTGTTGTCATGGCTCCACCAAAAGGTTGGGAAAATGGTTGTGCTGTAGATGTTGTTGTGGTGGTTGCTGAACCAAAACCAAATCCTGTTGAGGGCTTATTGTTGGTTGGTGCTGTAGTTGCAGAGGAAGCTGTTGGAGCATTTGTGTTGAAACCAAAACCTGTTGTTGGTTTTGCCGCAGCTGGTTGTGTGCCAAATAAAGGCACCGGCTTATCTTTCTAAAAACATATGTTCAATTCATTTAAGTTTTTTAAGATAAGTATGAACATTTTTAAATACTTACAATAGCCGGTGTTGAGGTGACCATATTGGAACCTATAGAAAAGGTCATATCACCAAAACCTTGACCAGCAGTTGGAGGTTTATTTTCACCGCCCTGAGGTCTTGCTTGGCTAGCTGCAACAGCAACTGTTTGCTTCAAATCTACAAACTGTCCCGATATATCATTTAAAGGGGGAGGTGGTGAACAAACATCTACAGCATTGGGAGCCAAATTTAAGAAATTATAGGAAACCAAATGACCATGAGTCGATAAGACATGAATCATGGGCATTACGGGCAGTTTCTTTTCTCCTACAAGCACTTGATGAGAAGAGGCGGTATCGTAGGCAAAACCTAAGGGATAAGTTTCATCTTTTGACTCAGTCAAAGGCATTTCAATACGAGCCTCATCCAGTAAAGTATACTGTATCCAATTGGGATTATCGCCTGCATCTTTAGTTCCCAATACACCCACCTCCACACCATTAGCAGAAGTAACCAATAAAAGATTCCATGGGGCTATGTGGTTAAAAGATAATTGCTGTATGCGTGGCCCAGGAGCACTATAGCAAACATCATAGTAATTGATATAAGACGGCTGACCAGCCTTAGGAGCATTAACTATAAACAATGAGGGACACATTTCCTGACCCCTTTGCAGGAAAATAGCGGCAAATTGAAATGTAGACAGCCAATGTACCGCTATACAATCAAATGGTCCCGGATGTATGCCGGGCGGACAAGGGATGGCTCTAGCTGGCTGTAAATTGGGTTTGAATTGTTGCAGTTTACCCTCGGCAAAACCAAATACGATTTGTTTTCCTTTTGGGGACCAACAGCCAGCTTTAACTTGATGCTCTTTACCCAAAGTAACTTTATCATATTGACCATTATTCAAAGTAAACATGGCCACCGAACCATCGGTTAAAATCAAAGCAATATTATTGGGTATTACCGGATTCCAAAGCATTTGTAAAGCAAAAACATTACTTTCTGGAGCAACGGGCATGTTATACATAGAAGTTGGCGTGGGAGTAACAAAACTATCCACTTGATAGATTTGCAAAAAGCCGGTATTGTTTAAAACATAATTAACCGCCAGCATAGAACCATCACAACTGCATGCTAAGACCTTAGGTTCACCCGGTAAATTAACTACACGAACTTTTAGTTCCTGTCCAGAAGCCTTAGCATCAACTATATCTCTTAATTTAAAAACTAGATAAACAAAATAATTAGCTTAATTTATTAAAAACTTAACACATTATCTATTTACAACCCACCTTTCAATTCATTGCTATGCGGATTACCGGCAAACAGTAGACCTTTGGCGGAGGAAACAGCCAATAAACTAACCAAACTTTTTACATCTTTTGCCTCGGAAAATATACTGAATTTATCATGTAATTTGAATTGTATATCCTACAATAAAAGGAAATTATTCAAATATCACTTAGTTCAACAAATTTGCTTATTATTTCTTTAAAAAATATAAAAGAAAAGCAAATGTAAATTGCTAAATTGTTTTTGTTTATACCTGCACATCTTGTGAAGGTGGTGCATTTTGGGCCATGTTTTCTTGTTGTTTTTTAGATATTTTCTTTTATATTTATAGCTTTTCTTATAAATTAATAATTTTATCTTTTATTTCACCATAAATTTTGTAAATAATTGAAATATTTTATTTTTCCCCAAACGAATTATAATATAAAAGAACAAGCGCACTTTTTTCTTCTTCTTCTTCTTCTTCTTCTTCTTGTTAACATGAGAGTATGACAATTGTAGTGTTGAAACGCCCTTAAGCGAAATGTTCAGAGTTGTATTTATATTGTAAACTTGCTCAAATACCGTTACACTCGAAAAAAGCATGAAATAAATAGAAATTATGTATAAAAAATATGAAAAAATTTATATATAATCAAAATTTTTACTTTTAAAGTTATTTTGTATAATTTATCTTAATATTGATGGAATTTATTTATATTTATTATATGGATTTGAACATTTCTGCGTTTAGGAATATATTTATTAATGTGTAGTTTGATAAATTGCCTTCAAATTTCATGATCAGCTGTACTACTGGCGATAACACATTATGCGTCATTAAAACGTATATGATAAGAACAATAAAGATATAAATACATATTATTAATAATAAAAACTTGGAAAATAATATGGATAATATTTTCAATAATTTACAAAATAATTATTCAGATTGTTTTTATCCTATATCAAATGTAAATAAAAGGGATTGGGAGATACAACAGCAGCAACATGAAGTATCAATTGCTGTCGGACTATTAAACGGGTATCAACATACATCAGCTAATGGCCTCAATAACAAGATGCAAAGAAATCCGTATAGTCAAAATTCCAATAAATTTTATACAAATTCCGCTCCTTATGCTCAGCAATATGATTATAATTGCATTGATGAATTGTATCCTGAAACAGCTGTTGATCGTCGTTCTGTGAATAGAAACAATAGCGAAGAACAAAATAATTCGAAGAGCCATGATAAAGCTAAGGTTCCAATTTTTATAGCATCAAAGATAAACAATCGTGAAGAATGTGCTAATAGAATGGAATTTTCAAAAACTTTACCACATCAAGCTATTTCAATTGCAATTAAAAGTGATGGTGAAAGATGTGCTAATGGAACTCGTTTAGAAAAGAATATGGAAAATTTGTCTAAACAATTACCAAATTCAAATTTGTTTAAAACTATTTCAATTGCAAATAAAAGTGATCGTGAAAGTTGTGCGAATGGAACTCGTTTAGAAACGAATATGGAAAATTTGTCTAAACCATTACCAAACTGAAATTTGTTTAAAACTATTTCAATTGCAAATAAAAGTGATCGTGAAAGTTGTGCGAATGGAACTCGTTTGGAAAAGAATATGGAAAATTTGTCTAAACCATTACCAAACTCAAATTTGTTTAAAACTATTTATATTGCAAATAAAAGTGATCGTGAAAGTTATACAAATGGAACTCGTTTGGAAAAGAATATGGAAAATTTGTCTAAACAATTATCAAATTCAAATTTGTTTAAAACTATTTCAGTTGCAAATAAAAATGATCGTGAAAGTTGTGCGAATGGAAATCGTTTGGAAAAGAATATGGAAAATTTGTCTAAACAATTACCAAATTCAAATTTGTTTAAAACTATTTCAATTGCAAATAAAAGTGATCCTAAAGGTTGTATGAATGGAACTCGTTTGGAAAAGAATATGGAAAATTTGTCTAAACCATTACCAAACTCAAATTTGTTTAAAACTATTTCAGTTGCAAATAAAAGTGATCGTGAAAGTTATGCGTATGGAACTCGTTTGGAAAAGAATATGGAAAATTTGTCTAAACCAATACCAAACTCAAATTTGTTTAAAACTATTTCAATTGCAAATAAAAGTGATCGTGAAAGTTGTGCGAATGGAACTCGTTTGGAAAAGAATACGGATAATTTGTCTAAACCATTACCAAACTCAAATTTGTTTAAAACTATTTATATTGCAAATAAAAGTGATCGTGAAAGTTATGCAAATGGAACTCGTTTGGAAAAGAATATGGAAAATTTGTCTAAACCATTACCAAACTCAAATTTGTTTAAAATATTTCAATTGCAAATAAAAGTGATCGTGAAAGTTGTGCGAATGGAACTCGTTTGGAAAAGAATATGGAAAATTTGTCTAAATAAAAGTGATCGTGAAAGTTATGCAAATGGAACTCGTTTGGAAAAGAATATGGAAAATTTGTCTAAACAATTATCAAACTCAAATTTGTTTAAAACTATTTCAGTTGCAAATAAAAGTGACCGTGAAAGTTGTGCGAATGGAACTCGTTTGGAAAAGAATATGGAAAATTTGTCTAAACCATTACCAAACTCAAATTTGTTTAAAACTATTTATATTGCAAATAACAGTGATCGTGAAAGTTATGCGAATGGAACTCGTTTGGAAAAGAATATGGAAAATTTGTCTAAACCATTACCAAACTCAAATTTGTTTAAAACTATTTCAATTGCAAATAAAAGTGATCGTGAAAGTTGTGCGAATGGAACTCGTTTGGAAAAGAATATGGAAAATTTGTCTAAACCATTACCAAACTCAAATTTGTTTAAAACTATTTATATTGCAAATAAAAGTGATCGTGAAAGTTATGCAAATGGAACTCGTTTGGAAAAGAATATGAAAAATTTGTCTAAACCATTACCAAACTCAAATTTGTTTAAAACTATTTCAGTTGCAAATAAAAATGATCGTGAAAGTTGTGCGAATGGAAATCGTTTGGAAAAGAATATGGAAAATTTGGCTAAACAATTACCAAATTCAAATTTGTTTAAAACTCTTTCAACAACACCTTTAAGCACATATCAAAGTAAATCTTCTAATGGCCACAATAACAAGAAGCAGATAAATCCAAATATACGCCAAGGTAAACTTTATTCAAATGGTAATAATAATCCCATTGGTTGTAGTTCCGTGAATAGAAACAGCAAAAGGAAACCAAGAAATCCAAAGAGCCAATTTAAGTCTAATGATGGAAAATGCATAGCCTGTAAAGTTTATCCCTGTTCTTCTGACAACACTTTTTGGACTTGTAAACATTGCCGGCATTGTCTGGATATACAGAAGGTAGTAAAATTGGCAAGCTCAGTAGGATATGAAGATGCTTGGCGTTGTCCCGTTTGTATGAAAGAAGGAACTTTTTTTACTGCAAAGAAGTTGACTTATTGTTTGTATTTATGGTAAACATTCTAAGGTCAAATAATATATATTAAGTCAAGGAATAGTTTGCATAAAAAATTTAAAAAATCTCAAAATCTTAGTAATAATCTTTATATCAGCAATAAGTTTTTGCTGAACAACATAAATTTCTTAATAAATTATTTCGCTCATTTACTACAAGACTGGCATAACACAAAAAACTCTTTTCGAGAAAAAATGGCTTTGAATGATTAATGGCATTTTACTATTGTTTAAATAACTTGTAAACAAACAAATGGGTTTGAAAAATTTATCTATATTCAGATAGTAGAGCTTAATATGTTTCTCATATAAATTGAAATTAAGTTTTTATTTAACTAATATTCGTGAAAATATGAGTTTTAGTTTTTTATAACAAACAAAATAATAGACATATTTGAAATGTGATAAATAAATATGGAAGACATTAGTTCAAAAAACCCGAATTTTGGGTAATGCCCGTCTTGTAGTAAATGAGCGATTTGTGTTCAAGTTTCCAAAAAATATATATTAAATATGAATATCATCTGTTTAAGTACTACAAAAAAACATATAATATAGAAGATATTTTAATTTGAAAAATAAATCTTAATAATATGGTCTAGTTTTTAGATTAACAACAAATATTTGTATCAAATGAGAAAATAACACAGGCCAACAAATTTTTAACACAGAGACCAAAGTATACTTTTCTGAAGGCTTTAGCATCGCTAAATCCGAATCTGGATTTCTCCATCACATCAGATTTTTGAGATATCGTGTCACAAAAACTGATAAAAACGTTTTTGGTCATATTTGAGATGTTATAAAAGCGAAAAGACACCTTCATTTATAAAATCTATCATATCGTATGATATACGATATCTCCATATCTCCATGACTTCGAGATATATTAACCTTAAGCTTGAAACAACCATAAAATTAAAAAAAAAAACAAAATTTATACTCCATTTCACTTTTATTCTATGCCGAACTTTTAGGTCTCAATTTGTCATAGTTTTCCCAATAACAGTCAGTTTGAATTATTTAAAAATCACTTTTACTTGCAAAGATATCGTCCAGTAAAGTTTTTGCCGTAAAATAAATTCAATATAAATTTTTTATAGTTGTTTCAAGCTTTAATTTCAAACTGATATTTACCTTCTCACGAAGATAAAGGTTTTAAAAATACCAAATTTATTCTCAGAACTGCAAAAATTATCATACTGTCTGTGATATCACCTTATTTGAATAAGCCTTGTTATAACTATTCATAAAAATCGCCAAACTCGCTTTTTTGAACTGTCAACACAAGCCAAAAATCTGGCATCCTCATTTTTGTGGCGAAATAATTATGGCATTTTGTGAAATTGTCAAAGAAAACGGAAAGTCAGAAAAAAGAACTGAAAGAGAAACGCAAAGATTGCGTATATGTGTTAGTTAATTTTATAAGAAATTGTAATTTTCAACTTATCATTTTATAATTAAACCTTAAAAAAGTAACTAATTAATTTCATAACTTTTTAACGGGAAATCAACATGTGAACTATAAAAAGTCTTAAATTGTTTCAATAAAAAATAACATCTTTAGGTTTTATAACATAAAAGAAGAAAAAACTGACAGCATAAGTTAATAGTGTGTGCGTTTGCAGTTTTTTGGTTTGCGTCTGTGAAAAAATAGGAAAAAAAATTAACGCGTGCCTCCAGCCGCTACGTGGGACTTTATTTTTTTTGCCAAAAACTTTAAATTTATAATTTTTTTATATTTTCTCAAAAATTCGCCTACAAAGGCAATTGTTAAATAAAAACAATACGCTACTGACTGCAATTTTTATAATTAAAGGCCTAAAAAGGCCGTAAAAATTAAGTGTGAAAATTGAGAAAAAAATTATAGTATAAAAATCCAGCAACAACGTGCTTTCACCTTTGTGCTGTCTATCCAGCTTAGCAGCAGCTGCAGCCGTATAAGTCTGAAAAAAAAAAAAAAACAAAAATGTCGGCCGATTCAAAGTCTCAACCGTCTAATCAGCCTCCCTTGTCACAATTGTGGCCGGGTTTTGGTTCGACTTCTTCTGAACTTAACAACCCTATGGAGCAACTTCATCCCCAACAATCAGCTCCAACATCCTTGTCTATGGGTAAACCACATGCTCAGCAAACTAATATTAACAATAATTATGTGAATTTTAATCAATTTATCATGCAACATAATCTTAATTCGCCACATCAAACTAAATCACCCTTGTCTTCTTCATTAGAGGATCAATTTACCAAAGTAGAGGGAAATCAAAATTCCAATTATGAGGATGTTTTTAGTTTTATTCATAATATTGGTGGATTGAATAATAACAACAACAACAAAGGCAACAACAATAATGGCAACAAGAATTCTAATCATCAGCAACAACCACAACAGCTCAAACATCAACAATATAATGTAAGTTTGTAAGTAATTTGTGTAATTATGTTGTCAAATTTGTACCACATTTTGTTGAAAGAAGTGGTTGAAATTTCGAAATGGTTACAAATTATCTTCTATTAAAAAGAAATTTCTCGAAAAATTTCTATAAGAGGATTTGTATAAATAAAGAAAAAGTGAAGAAAGGGGAAAAGTTCAAATTTTAACTCAACTAGAACTGAACTAGAAATGAACTGACTAGGACTGAAGTAGAACTGAAGTAGAACTGAAGTAGAACTGAAGTAGAACTGAGCTAGAACTGAACTAGAACTGAACTAGAACTGAACTAGAACGGAACTAGAACTGAACTAGAACTGAACTAGAACTGAACTAGAACTGAACTAGAACTGAACTAGAACTGAACTAGAACTGAACTAGAACTGAACTAGAACTGAACTAGAACTGAACTAGAACTGAACTAGAACTGAACTAGAACTGAACTAGAACTGAACTAGAACTGAATTAGAACTGAACTAGAACTGAAGTAGAACTGAACTAGAACTGAACTAGAACTGAACTAGAGCTGAACTAGAACTGAACTAGAACTGAACTAGAACTGAACTAGAACTGAACAAGAACTGAACTGGAACTGAACTGGAACTGAACTGGAACTAGAACTGAACTAGAACTGAACTAGAACTGATCTAGAACTGAACTAGAACTGAACTAGAACTGAACTAGAACTAAACTAGAACTGAACTAGAACTGAACTAGAACGGAACTAGAACTGAACTAGAACTGAACTAGAACTGAACTAGAACTGAACTAGAACTAAACTAGAACTAACTAGAACTGAACTAGAACTGAACTAGAACTGAACTAGATCTGAACTAGAACTGAACTAGAACTGAACTAGAACTGAACTAGAACTGAACTAGAACTGAACTAGAACTGAACTAGAACTGAATTAGAACTGAACTAGAACTGAACTAGAACTGAACTAGAACTGAACTAGAGCTGAACTAGAACTGAACTAGAACTGAACTAGAACTGAACTAGAACTGAACTAGAACTGAACTAGAACTGAACTAGAACTGAACTAGAAACTGAACTATAACTGAACTGAACAAGAACTGAACTGGAACTGAAATGGAACTAGAACTGAACTAGAACTGAACTAGAACTGATCTAGAACTGAACTAGAACTGAACTAGAACTGAACTAGAACTGAACTAGAACTGAACTAGAAGCTGAACTAGAACTGAACTAGAACTGAACTAGAACTGAACTAGAACTGAACTAGAACTGAACTAGAACTGAACTAGAATAGAACTGAACTAGAACTGAACTAGAACTGAACTAGAACTGAACTAGAACTGAACTAGAACTGAACTAGAACTGAACTAGAACTGAACTAGAACTGAACTAGAACTGAACTAGAACTGAACTAGAACTGAACTAGAACTGAACTAGAACTGAACTAGAACTGAACTAGAACTGAACTAGAACTGAACTAGAACTGAACTAGAACTGAACTAGAACTGAACTAGAACTGAACTAGAACTGAACTAGAACTGAACTAGAACTGAACTAGAACTGAACTAGAACTGAACTAGAACTGAACTAGAACTGAACTAGAACTGAACTAGAACTGAACTAGAACTGAACTAGAACTGAACTAGAACTGAACTAGAACTGAACTAGAACTGAACTAGAACTGAACTAGAACTGAACTAGAACTGAACTAGAACTGAACTAGAACTGAACTAGAACTGAACTAGAACTGAACTAGAACTGAACTAGAACTGAACTAGAACTGAACTAGAACTGAACTAGAACTGAACTAGAACTGAACTAGAACTGAACTAGAACTGAACTAGAACTGAACTAGAACTGAACTAGAACTGAACTAGAACTGAACTAGAACTGAACTAGAACTGAACTAGAACTGAACTAGAACTGAACTAGAACTGAACTAGAACTGAACTAGAACTAAACTAGAACTGAACTAGATCTGAACTAGAACTGAACTAGAACTGAACTAGAACTGAATTAAATTTGAAAGAAAATTGTAAAATAAATAAATTTCTTTAATTGTTTCAGTACTTCAATCCCTCTCTACCCCAATATCCATTTGCCAACTATAATAATAACAACAGTGTATTCACCGATGGTCTGCAAAACTATAATATAAATCCTAATACTGCCCCTGGTATAGCAACATCTACAGCAGCCGTCAATCCCTCTACATCAACTGGTAACCAAAATTATTATGATAACCGTAACTCATATGGTAACTTTAATACGAATGGAACGACTTACTATGCCAATCCCTTTGCTACGGGTTTTGATTTCAACAATACTAAACTGCAAGCAAATGCTCCAGAATTTGTGCCAAGATTTGATAAACTTTCGTTGAACGAAACAAATCAAGATGCTAATAAACAACAAACTCATAGTCAACAGGCTAAAGAAACTGAAACTTCAAATGGCAATTTAAAAGAAGATTTTAATAAAAATGAAGGAAATGAATCCAAAGATAAAACCAAAAATTTGGATTCTAGCTTTGAGAAGGAAGAAAAACGTCAACAACAAAGACACGAACGTTCTCGTGGCAATAATCGTCATCAAAATAAGCACGATAAGGAAAATAATAAAAGAAACAATAATCGTTTGGAAAAGAATATGGAAAGATTTTCTCGAAATTTACAAGAGAAACATCAAAATAATGATTCAGCCTCAAATTCGAATTCTTCCACTCCTTCGTTGACAATGAATGGTAGAGGAGAACGTGAACAGCAGCAACAACAACAGCAACCGGGGGTATCTAAAGCAACAGGAGCTTTTAGTAAAAATCAACGTGGTTCCATGAATGGCAACAATAATGAGAAACAAAGAAATCAAGATGGCCAAGATAAGTCTGGTGGTGAAAAAAACAATTTCAATAAACGTTATCAGAATGGCAGACGTTCTCAAGATTATGTAGAACGTGAGGAACGTTATGAACGTTACGTGGATCGTGGTGAACGTTCTGAACGTGGCCATAATCAACGTAATCAGCAGCGCAATGACTATCATCAACGTTATGATAATTATCGCAGTAATAAGAGACGTGATGATTGGAATCGTAATCGTGATCGTATAAATGGTTTTCGTGTAGAGGAAAAATACTCCAATGATAATGGCAAAGATAGTCCTTTGGCATCGCCTGAAAAGAGGTCTCCTAAAAAGTCTTATGACAAGGAAAATGAGAAGCTTTCACAAAGAGAAAAATTAATAAGAGATATTGAAACTAGACGTCTGGAATGTTTAGTTTGTGTAGAGCCTATTAAGGCTCATCAGAGTGTTTGGTCTTGTCATAATTGCTATCATATACTACATTTGCAGTGCATAATAAAATGGGCCTCTTCCTCGAAATCCGACGACGGCTGGCGTTGTCCTGCCTGTCAGAATGTAGAAAAAGAAGTTCCTCGTGATTACTACTGTTTCTGTGGTAAATTAAAGAATCCCACAAATAATCGTCAAGACATAGCACATTCTTGCGGTGAAGTATGTGGACGTGTAGAGGGCTGTGCTCATGCCTGTACTTTGCAGTGTCATCCCGGTCCCTGTCCTCCTTGTCAGGCACAGGTAAAGCGTGAATGTGGTTGTGGCAAAACCTCGAAAATTATGCAATGCTGCTTAAAGGAAACCATAGAATGTGATTCCACTTGTGAGAAACTATTGAATTGTGAATTGCACACTTGTCAGGAGAAATGTCATGAGGGCAAATGTCCCGCCTGTAAAGAGAAGGTTGATCAAAAGTGTCACTGTGCTAAACAAGAAAGACAAGTTACTTGTACACGCGAGTCGCATGACAAACACAACTATTCATGTGGTAAAATTTGTGGCAAAAATTTAACATGTGGCAATCATCAGTGTAAAGACAGTTGCCATCCCAATGAATGTAGACCCTGTAAATTGAGTCCTGACAATGTCACCTCTTGTCCCTGTGGCAAAATGCCTATTATGGCCGAACAGCGCAAATCCTGTTTAGATCCCATACCCGTTTGTGAGGGTGTCTGCGGTAAAACTTTAAAATGTGGCAAAGCTACTAATCCTCACCATTGCACGGCAAAATGTCATTTGGGTAATTGTCCTCCATGCAATAAACAAACTGCTGTCAAGTGTCGCTGTGGCCATATGGATCAAATGATAAAATGTCGCCAGCTGTCGACTAGAGCGGATGATGCTAGATGCAAGAAACGCTGCACGAAAAAACGTTCCTGTGGCAAGCACAAATGTAATCAAGAGTGCTGCATAGACATCGATCATTTCTGTCCACTGCCTTGTAATTATACGCTCTCTTGTGGCAAGCACAAGTGTGATCAACCCTGTCATCGCGGCAATTGTCCACCTTGTTATCGTTCCTCTTTCGAAGAGCTCTTCTGTGAGTGTGGTGCTGAAGTTATCTATCCCCCCGTGCCCTGTGGCACTAAACGTCCCGTTTGCAAACGCCCCTGTTCGCGTAAACATCCTTGCGATCATCCGCCACAACATAACTGCCATTCAGCAGCCACATGTCCTCCCTGTATGATGTTCACTACGAAATGGTGTTTCGGTCACCATGAACAACGCAAAACGATACCCTGTTCTCAGCAGAGTTTTTCCTGTGGTTTGGCCTGTAATAAACCTTTGCCTTGTGGTCGCCACAAGTGCATTAAGACTTGTCATGAGGGTCCGTGTCAAGTACCCGGTGAGATTTGTAAACAAAGTTGTACTACTGCTCGTTCTACTTGTGGGCATAAGTGTATGGCTCCGTGTCACAATGGTGATTGTCCTGAGAATCCCTGTAAAGAGATGGTAAGTAACTGGAAAGTGTTTTTCTCTAAAGAAAAATTAAAAAGTTTTTTTTTTTATTAAAAAGCTTAAAACGTTTTTCAATTTCCAAAAGCTTAAAAACCTTATTCACTAAAAAAGTTTTATTACACAAGTTTTTTTTAAATAAAATAAAGCTTTTTTAGATTTAGTTTTTCGATGAAAGAAGTTTTTTTAGAATATAGAAGCTTTTTTCTAGAAAAGCTTTAATTTATTCATTTAACAAAAAACCTTTTTTTTAATTATTTGAATAAGTTTTGGAAAAAGCTTCCTTTTCATAATAACCCTAATTTTTTTAAAGCTATTTTTTCAATAAAAGGTTTTTTTCAATAGAAGCTTTTTTAAAACAAACTTAAGTTATATGTTCAGATACATATTTTTACATTTATACTAAAAGAGCTCTTTTCACAAAAAAGGTTAGAAGAGCTTTTTTAGTAAAAAAGCTTTAAATGTATTTTTCATTATAAAAGTTTTTTTTAATAAAAAAATTATTATTCACTAATAAAGCTTTTTCTTAAAAAGAACTTTTTTACTTTAAAAATTAAGAAAAGCTTTTATTAATAGAAAAGCTTAAAATTAATTTCTCATTAGAAAAACTTTTTAAAAATTCTTACAAAAAAAGCTTATTCTTTAAACGAACTTTTTCACTAAAACCTATTTCGAAAAAAGCTTATTCTTTAAAATAATTTTTTCACTAAAACCTATTTCGAAAAAAAAGCTTTTTTATTTGTTTAGCAAAAAGTATCTCTAAAATTTCTACAAAAAACTGTTTTTATTAAAGTTTTTTCAATAAAAAAGTTTATAAATGCTTTTACAAAAAAGCGGATATATATAAGCTTTTACAAAAAGCTGATATAAAAGCTTTTACTAAAAAGTTTATAGAAAAGACTAAAAGCTTATAGGAAAGCTTTTTCAGTAAGAAAGCATATAGAAAAACTTTTTCTATAAGAAAGCTAATAGAAAAGCTTTTTCTATAAGAAAGCTAATAGAAAAGCTTTTTCAATAAAAAGCTTATAGAATAACTTTTTCAATAAAAAGCTTTCAGAAAAACATTTTCAATAAAAAGCTTTCAGAAAAACTTTTTTATTAAAAGCTTATAGAAAAGCTTTTTCAATAATAAAGCTTAAAATTAATTTTTCATTAGAAAAGCTTTTTAAAAAAATAAACCTTTTTCAGTAGAAAAAGCTTAATCATGCATTTCACTTATTTGCTCTTAGAAAGCTTTTCCATTAACATTTTAGCCATTTTTTTTACTATAAAATGTTTTTGCTTTTTTTCCTCTCGCACCAGGTTGAAGTTCAATGCGAATGTGGCAATCGCAAACAAATGCGCACTTGTGCCGAATTGGCACGTGAATTCAGTCGTATTGCTACTGCCCAATTGGCCTCATCCATGGCTGAAATGCAACGTGGCAACTATATGGAACTATCGGAAATTTTAGCTCCAGTCAAACTCTCTGGTAAATCTACTAAAACTTTAGATTGCAACGAAGAATGTCGCCTACTCGAACGTAATCGTCGCTTGGCTATAGGTCTACAAATACGTAATCCTGATTTGCCACAAAAACTCTTAACAAAATATTCTGATTTTATACGTAACTTTGCTAAACGTGATCCAGCTTTGGTCAAGTCCATACATGAAGCTCTAACCACTCTAGTGAAATTGGCCAAAGAAAGTAAACAAAAGTCACGTTCCCACTCGTTTCCCACCATGAATCGTGAAAAACGTCAGCTAGTACATGAAATGTGTGAAATGTTTGGTGTCGAATCAGTGGCCTATGATGCTGAACCTAATCGTAATGTGGTAGCTACTGCTTTTAAGGATAGAGTAAGTTTGTTTTGTTTAAATTTACTTAAAACATTATATTCATTTTTTGATTTTATCCTTTCTAGTCTTGGCTTCCTGCTACTAGTATTATGGAAGTAATGGCTCGTGAGGCTGGTCAAAGACGTGTACCAGTACCGAGTAATAATGCCTGGGGTTTAAAGAGATAATGCTATTAATAACATACACACACACACACACAAAGATAATTAAGTTCAAACTTAATTTCAACATAAAATTTTTTCGTTTAAAATCATCACTTATTTATATACCTACCTATAAACAAAAACAACAAATAATTTACAAATAATAAACTAACCCCACTAAAATGAATTACAAACTGTCTCCCCTCTACTACTCTCTCTTTCTATATATAAGCCAAGCTATTACTTGGAACTCATTATATCCTAACTAACCACCTTCTTTGATGAGGAAAACACAAAACAAAAAAACTATTAAACTAAACGAAAATAATGTTACAAAATTAATATTTTGCTATAGTAGTTAGTCAACCAACCAACTAAATGGGCTTACTAGAATTCGATAAATCTTCTAAAAAAACTCTTTACTTTATTCTTTCATTTGTTTTCTTATAAAAAATTATAATAATTTTTGTTTTCTTTTCTTTATACTCTTTATTTTTTCAAATATAATTCATATAATCATATCTAAGTTTTTTTTTTTTTTTTTTTTCATTTTATTAATATGTTATTTATATAACCTTGGCAAATGGATTGGTTTTTGAACGTTATGTTATTATTATTATTATTTTCTTTTTCATACAAATTATTATTATCTCTAAAAAATGTTTTTTTCTTTTTGGTTTTCTGTAAACTTTAAAATATTATTATTCTTTATTTAACATACAAATTTATAATCATTTAAATTTATAAACAAACAATTAATACACAAAAAACTCTAATGAAAAACTATATAGAATAACTAAAAAACACAAAAAATCTTGTTTATTAAATAAAAAGTTGTTTATTAATGAACTGTAAACAAAAAAAAAATTGATGTAATTTTTTCTAATTTAAAAAATTTTTAAGAAAAAAATTTGCAGAATAATCTTAATTTAAACCAGATGTAAGAAATAATTGAACTAGAATTGCACCAAAACTGATTCCGGATAAAACTAGGACTAATCCTGGCTACAATGAGAACTGAACTAGAACTGAATTAGCACAGAACTAGACCTGAACAAGAACTAAGCTAGAACTTAACTAGAACTGAATTGGCACTGAACTAGAACAGAACTAGAACTGAACTAGAACTGAAGTAGAACTGAACTAGAACTGAACTACTACTAAACTACAACTAGAACTGAACTAGAACTGAACTAGAACTGAACTAGAACTGAACTAGAACTGAACTAGAACTGAACTAGAACTGAACTAGAACTGAACTAGAACTGAAACTAGAACTGAAACTAGAACTGAACTAGAACTGAACTAGAACTGAACTAGAACTGAACTACTACTAAACTACAACTGAACTACAACTGAGCTATAGCTGAACTAGAACTAAACTAGAACTGAACTAGACATGAACTAGAACTGAACTAGAACTGAACTAGAACCTGAACTAGAACTGTAACTAGAGAACTGAACTAGAACTGAACTAGAACTGAACTAGAACTGAACTAGAACTGAACTAGAACTGAACTAGAACTGAACTAGAACTGAACTAGAACTGAACTAGAACTAGAACTGAACTAGAACTGAACTAGAACTGAACTAGAACTGAACTAGAACTGAACTAGAACTGAACTAGAACTGAACTAGAACTGAACTAGAACTGAACTAGAACTGAACTAGAACTGAACTAGAACTGAACTAGAACTGAACTAGAACTGAACTAGAACTGAACTAGAACTGTACTAGAACTGAACTAGAACTGAACTAGAACTGAACTAGAACTGAACTAGAACTGAACTAGAACTGAACTAGAACTGAACTAGAACTGAACTAGAACTGAACTAGAACTGACTAGAACTGAACTAGAACTGAACTGAACTGAACTAGAACTGAACTAGAACTGAACTAGAACTGAACTAGAACTGAACTAGAACTGAACTAGAACTGAACTAGAACTGAACTAGAACTGAACTAGAACTGAACTAGAACTGAACTAGAACTGAACTAGAACTGAACTACTACTACTAAACTACAACGGAACTACCAACTGAGCTATAGCTGAACTAGAACTAAAACTAGAACTGAACTAGAACTGAACTAGAACTGAACTAGAACTGAAATAGAAACTGAACTAGAACTGAACTAGAACTGAACTAGAACTGAACTAGAAACTGAACTAGAACTGAACTAGAACTGAACTAGAACTGAACTAGAACTGAACTAGAACTGAACTAGAACTGAACTAGAACTGAACTAGAACTGAACTAGAACTGAACTAGAACTAGAACTGAACTAGAACTGAACTAGAACTGAAACTAGAACTGAACTAGAACTGAACTAGAACTGAACTAGAACTGAAACTAGAACTGACTGAAATGACGAACTGAACTAGAGGAACTAGACTGAACTAGAACTGAACTAGAACGCCTGAACTAGACTGAACTAGACTGAACTAGACGACTAGAACTGAACTAGAAACTGAACTAGAACTGAACTAGAACTGAACTAGACTGAACTAGAACTGAACTAGAACTGAACTAGAACTGAACTAGAACTGAACTAGAACTGAACTAGAACTGAACTAGAACTGAACTAGAACTGAACTAGAACTGAACTAGAACTGAACTAGAACTGAACTAGAACTGTACTAGAACTGAACTAGAACTGAACTAGAACTGACTAGAACTGAACTAGAACTGAACTAGAACTGAACTAGAACTGAACTAGAACTGAACTAGATGAAAACTAGAACTGAACTAGAACTGAACTAGAACAGAACTAGAACTGAACTAGAACTGAACTAGAACTGAACTAGAACTGAACTAGAACTGAACTTGAACTGAACTAGAACTGAACTAGAACTGAACTAGAACTGAACTAGAACTGAACTAGAACTGAACTAGAACTGAACTAGAACTGAACTAAACTGAACTGGAGCTGAACTAGAAATGAACTAGAAATGAACTAGAACTGAACTACTACTGAAGTACACTGAAGTACAACTGAGCTACAACTGAGCTACAACTGAAGTACAATGAGCTACCACTGAGCTAACAACTGAACTAGAACTGAACTAGAACTGAACTAGAACTGAACTAGAACTGAACTAGAACTGAACTAGAACTGAACTAGAAACTGAACTAGAACTGAACTAGAACCTGAACTAGAACTGAACTAGAACTGAACTAGAACGAACTAGAACTGAACTAGAACAGAACTAGAACAGAACTAGAACAGAACTAGAACTGCACTAGAACTGAACTAGAACTGAACTAGAACTGAACTAGAACTGAACTAGAACTGAAACTAGAACTGAACTAGAACTGAACTAGAACTGAACTTAGAACTGAACTAGAACTGAACTAGAACTGAACTAGAAACTGAACTAGAACGAACTAGAAATGACTAGAACTGAACTAGAACTGAACTAGAACTGAACTAGAAACTGAAATAGAAATCTGAACTGAACTGGAACTGAACTAGAACTGAACTAGAACTGAACTAGAACTGAACTAGAACTGAACTAGAACTGAACTAGAACTGAACTAGAATGAACTAGAACAACTAGAACTGAACTAGAACTGAACTAGAACTGAACTAGAACTGAACTAGAACTGAACTAGAACTTGTCACTTGTCTTGTCAACAGTTTGTGCCTATACGTCTAGATGTACACAAGAATTTATTTGTCTTCACCTCTTTATTTGTTTTCTTACGTTTCCAAACAACAAAAAAAAAAATAAATAAATAAATAAATAAATAAAATAAATAATAATTAAGTTATATAAAAACCTATAAAGTTTATTGGTCCTACGTATAGCATTCACACATTGCAGTAAAATTTTTCCAAAAGTTATTCCATTCTTTTTATATTGTATTTTCATTGCTTCAACGCCCATAAATAACCACAATAACAACTGAAAAGGATTCAAAAGTCTTGCGAGCACAAGTCTGTGTATTCATAACAATAGCAACAAACTATCTTTATGTGATGACATTAAAAGAAACTACAAGTTGGTGTTTTATATATAAGAAAGCAAAGGTCGAATTGGAGAGGCTTTCTTTAAAACAATATATAAAATCAACTTTGGGAAAAATTAGAATAAGTATATATTTGAAAAATTATTTCACTATCATTTAATTTGCCTTTCCATGATCAAGTTTGAGTAAAAATTTATCTTGTTTTACATCTCGTAAACGATATGTATCCTTAGTTCCCTGTCGTAGGGTTATGATAGCAGGAACAGCAACAAATACATACAAATGTACATACATACATGCGTTTCTTGGCAAACATAAATAAAATTGTATCTTAGAATTTATAAACGTTTTATGTTTTGTACAAATGTGTTATTTATTATTCCTCCCATCTAAAACTCATTAATATATAAATGTTCATATGTTCCATAGACTAGCACTCACACATTCAAAAGCGGCCAGACTTTATCCTACCCAGTAAACATTTCGAGTTCAGTTCTAGTTCAGATCGAGTTAATTTCTAGTTGAGTTCTTGTTCGTTCTAGTTCTGTTCTAGTTCTGTAGCTAGGTCTGTTCTAGTTTCAGTTCTAGTTCAGTACTAGTTTAGTTCTAGTTCAGTTTTCTAGTTCATGTTCTAGTTCAGTTCTAGGTCAGTCTAGTTCATTCGATTCAGTTCAGTTCTAGTTCAGTTCTAGTTCAGTTCTAGTTCAGTTCTAGTTCAGTCGAGTTCAGTCTAGTTCAGTTCTAGTTCAGTTCTAGTTCAGTTCTAGTTCAGTTCTAGTTAGTTCTAGTTTCTAAGTTCAGTTCTAGTTCAGTTCTAGTTCAGTTCTAGTGCAGTTCTAGTTCAGTTCTAGGTTCAGTTCTAAGTAGCAGTTCTAGTTCAGTTCTAGTTCAGTTCTAGTTCAAGTTCTAGTTCAGTTCTAGTTCAGTTTAGTAGCAGTTCTATGTTCAGTTCTAGTGGTCAGTTCTAGTTCAGTTCTAGTTCAGTTCTAGTTCAGTTCTAGTTCAGTTCTAGTTCAGTTCTAGTTCAGTTCTAATTCAGTTCTAGTTCAGTTCTAGTTCAGTTCTAGTTCAGTTCTAGTTCAGTTCTAGTCAGTTCTAGTTCAGTTCTAGTTCAGTTCTAGTTCAGTTCTAGTTCAGTTCTAGTTCAGTTCTAGTTCAGTTCTAGTTCAGTTCTAGTTCAGTTCTAGTTCAGTTCTAGTTCAGTTCTAGTTCAGTTCTAGTTC